TTCCTCTATGCGAATGCCACAGAGACTCCCCAGTTAGATCTATTACCTATTTTCTCTGCCTCAGATATATTGCTCGTAAGGCTGCACTGTGCTCCTCTGTTAACTCCACTAGAAAATGCAACGGTACAGTCGTATTTTTCAAGTTCTGAGCAGCAATGAACTTCGCTGTATTTATATTAGGCATATTTTTCACTGTTAAAACTACGTTGTTTACCTTTTCCAAGACCACATTATTGGGCAGCCTCTGCAACTATAAACCAAACCTAACCGACGACAACTTTACAGTCGGTGCGTCTCCTTTTGCACACAGTTCATGAAAAAGCGACGCAGCCAGTTTTATAGCACATTAAGAACACTTTTTAAAGTACTCAACATAAAATGTTTTATCCTCCTGTTCACCCACGCTTCTTTTTTTTTTTTTTCCCCCTAACCGTCTACTTTCCCTGCACTACTGGGAGCTGAGGAGTTTAGGAGGCAGGTTCATCTCGAGGGACCCAAGCGCAGAGGCTGCAGCTCAAAAGCTCGAGCGTTTGGCGTGTCGCACCCCCCGTGCGATGCTCGGAACGCTCAGGGATTGGGAAGGAGACCGCCACTGCCATGGGTTTGCACTTCCCAGGAAGAATTTCAAACAGCGGAATGGTAGCGGTGACACAAGCGAAAACCCAGCTTGAAAGGAAGACAAAAAAAAAAAAAAAAGGCACAATGTGCATTTTAAGAGTAGCGAGGAACGCTTTGAGGCGCTCATTAAAACATCATTCTCGTCTCAGGAAAGTCACTTGAAGCCTTTCACCACCTCCGCGCTCCCTCGGCCACACCAGAAGAACGTGCCGTGAGCCCCTGACCCGCACATCGCTGGAAAATCCAGTTGGTGAGAAGGTTTGGTAAGTTTTTCACATGCAACTGAAATTGGATGAAGTTGCAGAATTAGATCAGCCGTTTGATATTTTTGAATCTGTGTTGTATTTGCTGTGGATTTTTTTTCTGTACTTACTGCATGTGATAGTTTATAATTTGAAGAAGCAAGGGAAATGATAAATCTATCACATTAACAGTCTATTTCTCAGGTGACGAAATGTCAGTGGTATCTGGATAACCTACTCCATAAAGCACATTCTCCAAATGGCATTTTTTTTTTTAGGTTGGTTAAAAATGCAAAAGTTTGCCTCCCGCTTCATCTACTATTTAATGAATGCCTCTGGTTATGAAAAGCAACTTTTGACAGACCATCAGGTTATATTTCTGTCTCCATGGAGATACTTTGGACGGGAAGTGGCTGAGAAGACCTCTACCATCCCTTTCACATTATATTCACAAGCACAATCAACGAAACTCAAATGAATCCACCCCGGGTAACTTAGAGGAGTCACTAGCTATAGCTTTAATTTTCGCTTTTACTCTCTGGAATTAGGACTTGCCCTGGAGCTCTTGTTTGAGAGATTTGCAGGTGACCCAGGGTTAGATCTTCCCATATCAGTTAACAAATTTTCTCTTTACATATATACTGCTTTTCAAGCCAGTGACATTTTTTTAATAGAAAAATATATATACCAACCAATCATACAGTTATGATTTTTAAGGGAGTCTTCACAGAAGAACATTTATTTTCCTAATCTAGGAAACTGTGGATTTTAAAAGTACATATGACTTATTTTTAATCTTTAAGAATGAGGGGTAAGTTTTCTTGAACAGCAGCAACACCAAACGTTGTCTCCTATTGACAAACGACCAAGACACACTCGCTTTGTCTCTGCCCTGATATAAATGGAAAAGGAATACGTAAGTGCACTGCATTTCCACATGGTCTTCACCACCATGGGTTTTAGTCTTCCCCTGGAATGAAAGCATGATCTTCAGACATATTTTACAAAGTCTTGCAAAACTGGATGGTTGTACTTCTGAAAGAAGTCAAAGCACCATAGCGAGTAGAACTGACCCCCCCCGTAACTTGTTCCTGACATTCTGAACATTCCTCCCTCAATCCACTGCAAAATTTGGATTTTGCAAATGGCAAATGTCATTCACTGTCACAAAACAGAGGACAAAAAAAAAAGAATAAAAATAATTTCAAAATAATAATAAAAAGACAATTCACAACAAATTTAATATTAAGTATGTTCTTACAATTATATTACGCTGGTTTTCCCAGAGGTCTACAAACAAATTTATGTAAAGAGATTACTTCATCCACCATTGAACTGCAGCCACTTCTCACAGAAACCTGTTTACCACTTTAGTAACACAATTCAACAAAGTGGGCATGAAAAACTACACACTGTTGAAATTATGTAGGGAGTGTAAGAAGCCAACAATAACTACTGCCCTGGAGTAGGACCAGGATGCTACTGGTAACCTGTTCCTCAGTCGGCAGGGCCATGGGACAAGGAAGTCTTACAAAAGACAGCAAATTTAGCAAACTGCTGTTTACGACCTTGTTTTAAGCATCACAAAAAGTGCAGTGCGTAGAACAAAGGGTGGTCAGCCAAAAAACAGATAAAGGAATGGGGTTTAGTTCTAACCAGTTCTTCCTTAAACCCATGTTTATCAAGTTCAGTGAAATGACCACCGTGGTAAGAGAGAGGAATGCCTGGAGAACCTAGAGGGACACTACGAAAGAGGAAAACCGATAGCAACTGAGCAGGAATAATGTCATGATGCTACCAAAAACCTCCCCCAGAACCCAAAAGGACAAACGCCATAGTGGGATGTGCAGGGAGGAGGACAGTCCGATGACTCCCCAAGGTTACCCTTGCTCCACGCGGCACGGTGTCTAAGCTTGCACACCACCGCACCCCCAGAGAGCTGTGGGGCAGCTGGAGAATGTTCAAAGAAAAGCCGCAGGAACAGCCAGAAATCTAGAAATGAGAGACTGAG